GCCTCAGGTTACAGATGAGATTGTGGACGCTTAAGGGGGTAAAATAACCGATGTGAAGAGGTAACGTGAAACTGGAATGAAATCCAGGCAGGCTGATCCAGAGCCCACAGTCTGCCTTAGCCATTTGTCCACACTGCGTCCACATCTGCACGGGGCCTCCCACACCAGCCCTATCCTCTGCGTTCTGTTGTTTCTCTTTCGGCTCATTCTAGTTCTGGACTCCTGAACTGCCTTGCTTCTGGGCAAGCCCATTCCCACCCTGACCCCTTGTTTTTCTTGATGTATTAGTGACCGATCCCCAAGTAACCAATCGCCCCAAAAGTTGTAGGCTTAAAACAATAGAGATTTATTATCTCACAGCCGCTGTGATCAGGAATCAGGTGTGGCTTAGTTGGGTGCCTCTGGTTCAAGGTCTAGAATGAGGCTATGGTTGAACTGATGGCCAGGCTCTCTAGGGGAGCATCCACTTCCACACTCACAAGGTTGTCGGCTGGATTCAGTTCCTCAGAGGCCGTGTGACTGGAGCCCTTTCTTGCTGACTGTTTGCCAGGGAACCCCCTTAGTGCCCTGCCACGTGAGTCTTCCCATGGGCAGCTCACAAAATGGCAGCTGGCTTCCCTCAGAGCAAGCAAGAGCCCCCAACATGAAAGATACAGTCTCTCTGTAACCTAATCTCAGAAGTGACATTCAATTGCTATTTGTTGGAAGCCACTAGGTCCAGCCCATACTCCAGGGGAAGGGATTAGACAAGAGTATGAATTCCAGGAGGCAGGGATCATGGGCAGGGGGCCATCACAGAGGGTATGCACCACAGACAGCTAGGCACTGCATTATCTGTGTGACAGCACATAAGACAGATGGAGATGTCTGGGTATTTACAGGACACTAGAGCTCTGGTTCCAGACTCTTTTACTTCAACTATGAGGCTCTTTCCTTCACTGTACGTATATAGCAAGGTCAGTGAGTTGGTATCTGAGATGTTGGAGGGATCAGGGCATTTCTGTGTGCCGTCCTGTGTGTTTTCGGAAGACCCGTGGCAGTGGCTCATTCACAGATAAAATGAACCACAAATTGTCTACGCTAATTTACAGATCCATTCAGTAAGTGAAAGGAAGCAAGTTGAGAATACTGTATAAACACTGGGTGGTGTTTTTATTTTTCTACCTTATAAAACATATAAATATTGTTGCTCGGATACATGGTGATCAGAGATGTAATAACATTTAGCTCAGAAGGTTTCTGTTTTGAGTAATTTATTAGAGTATGAGTAATTTTTGGATAAGTAAGACTGTGAAGGCCAGCCTGGTCTTTAATTAGCTAGAAATTATTTCTTTAGAAAGAAATTAGTTCTAATTGTTGTAGTTTGGAAGGCAAAGTATCATTATCAGGAAAAATGCTGATCTGTCCCCTTTGAATCTTTAATGCCAATAATTTAGTACTTTTATCATGGAGGGTTTGCTAACCATCTTGTTTGGCCAGGCATGGTGCCTGACTTAATGGGAAGATGTGAGCAATTTGATAGTGAAGAATGTTCCTCTTTCCTACCTCCTTAGCTTTGTAACATGAAAGTTATACAAGCTGAGTTGGCCTTCCTAAAATGATGCTAAGTGGCCGACCTCATTAGCTCCAAGAGAATAAAAATAAACGCATGGCCTTCTGCGCAGAACCTAAACAGGGTTTAATCGTATTGTGCCTTCTTTCGAGAACCTATTCTCTTTTAGTTCCATTATGAACATCCCAAAACCTCACTTCCTTAAAGGAAGAATCCAGGAGACTGTAATTTTATTCTACTAGGAAGACAGCGAGCCAACTCTGGAGTTTGAATTTTATTCTGAAAGGCTTTGCTGTTCTCATCTGGATGTTGAAATGACGATTTTCAATTCCAACAATAATTACTGCTCCAGACCTCATCCTGTGGGAACCAGAAATAATGTCCAAGTGCTTTCCTGTCTGGCCACATTCCAGCCTTTCCCCTATCCCGTGATAATGGTCTGGCTATTTCTACACTCATGGCAGCCCCATCCTACAGTAACCTTGCTCCTCCGACACTAAGCCTGCCAGCAGGCCAGGAATCTGCCATCAGCTTCCCTGATCATGAGCATACAGACCAGTAGGAAGCAGCTACAGGGGGGAAAAAGACTTCCACACAAGCCTAGACTAAAATCTGCATGCACTGTGGGCCAGCTAGAAATCGGCTGCCCCTTCTAACCAATATTCCCTACTCCGTTGCCACATCTGTTTAGTAAGAAGGACTGATTTTCTAATTTTAAAGATGTGTCTGTACCAGATTCGCTAAGTAATTCACGTCCACCGGCTGCAGGCAACGCCAGCAACGTAGAAAGAAAAGCAAAAGCAGAAAATTACCTTTCTGAAAACACTTTTCTAGAACTCTGATTCTCCGTTTCCTTTCACAACTTCCCAAAGCAGAGACGTTTCTGAGGGCGTATGTGCACAATCAGCATACACAGCCGTCTGCAAGTCTGTGTAACGTCTCTGTGTATATGCTCGTTCCGCAGGGTGACTTTGAATGAAAAGGACAATTTCATGAATGCTGAAAATCTGGGGATCGTGTTTGGGCCCACCCTGATGAGGTCCCCTGAGGACAGCACCCTCACCACCCTCCAGGACATGCGGTACCAAAAGCTGATTGTGCAGATTTTAATAGAAAATGAAGATGTTTTGTTTTAATCCACCGGGGAAATTGAGCTGAATGGCCCCGGCCCCATCTAAGTTGATAAAGCTAAAGGAATAAAAGCATTTCTTACGCTTGATTTGTTTTCCAAACAAGTGGCAGAATTTCCTGGACCGCAGCGGGTTGTCAAGTCGGCTCCTGTGTCTCATAGACACTCGCCTCGTCCACGTGAGAAGAGCAGGGGTGAGAGTGACCAAGGCCCTTGTCTTGGGTCTTTGCCGTGCCTCCTACGTACATCTGTTTTGCTGGAAGAGTGATTAATAAATCTTTAACTTATTAAAAAACAACAACGTAGACCTTTAAGCTTCAGTCTTATCAGTAATAAAAGGGAATTTAATTCATAGAGGTACTTGATACAGTTATACGTTTTCCACTTACAAAAAAGAAGACAATTCTATGTTAAATGTTAAATGAGACTTCTATTGTAAAATGTATTTTTATTTTAGCTGCGAGAATGTTACTTTATTTCAGCAAATAGAACTCAATGCAGTGCATTGATTATGACCCTGTGTACTTTGTCCCGCTTCTTGCTGTGATCCCTGAAAACGTTTACCATGAATGCAGTATTATCTTGACATACCTCTGTCCTTATCAGTGCTTTGCAATGGAAGTTCACCGGCCACCTGTGTCCCTGCTTCTGATAGTTTTTGCTGTTAAGCACACTGGCAGCTTGCTGTCGTATGGTATACGTTTATAGCAATTGTAGGATGGCCTGACACATCCACGCATCTTCTTTCCATAACAATGTTGTGGAATCCCAGAGTATGTTTTGGCATTGGCTGTAGTCTTTCCATATCGTGTGTGAATATCCCAGAATATGCAGAATGTGGTCATTTTACATAAAATGATTTGGAAACACTGGTTGAATCTGGGCCATGTAAAAAAGTGAGCACTTTCCCTGTTTTCAGGCCAGCATTCTGACTTCATCGATTAATGGCAAATTGTATTTTTGTCACACTTCTGTATTTATGAAAAGTGAATCTGCAGAATAATTGATTTTTTTTTTCGTTTTTGTTTTATAAACAAGACTATTTTTAAAAGTAAGAATGAGTAAGTTGGGTTTTTACAAATATTCCTCCTTGATAAGAGTAGCTGTGTATGGATCATAATTTAATATGACTTTATTACTATAGCTCCATCTTATTGGTGATATTTATCTTAGCATGGGCTTTTCACGGCAAGATTTCTATATTTTGTAACATAGGTAAAATATTGGAAGCATCAAAACCTGTAAATCTAATTTTTTTCCCTGCCATCCAACTACAGCGTCTTTTCCTCTGATTGAGCTGATCCACGTACTTACTCGGTAGTCTGGTTTTGGAGTGACCGGAAGAGAATTACTGTGTGAGAAGTGAGCCGGAAGGAGGAGGGCGGTGCAGCTGTTGTCCTGCATGGGCTCTGTTGGCACACGGCGGGGTCAGAATGGTTCTGCTGGGTCCCTGCTCTATTGTTCCTCCCAACTGTACAGATTTGTTTGTTGTAGCTTCTGTACTTCTGGATACTGTCAAAAGATTATCTGAAAATGGTTTTATTTTGTGAAGTGAATACTACTTTGTAATTTATGATAGCGTAAATGGAAGGAAAAGCATTAAATGTATTAAATTCTTCTGTCTATCGTTTCGGAGTGTGTGAAGAAAACTGGTGTTGGGGAGCGGCAGGGTCCAGTAGGGGGAGAATGTCTAAAACACCGTTCCCGGATGGGTTTTGGCGACAGTTTCTGTCGTCACCAAAACATGGGGAGGAAACAGACACGTCCCACTGAGTCCCCACCCTGTTGCCCACCCCTTTTCCAGTGTCCACTCTGGAGGGCCTGCTTGGGAGTCTAATGCTCCGCCTTCACTGTCCCTAAGACCTGTTGCATTTATGTTTTTCATTAAAAGATGTAGGGTTTATGGGGCGCCTGGGTGGCGCAGTCGGTTAAGCGTCCGACTTCAGCCAGGTCACGATCTCGCGGTCCGTGAGTTCGAGCCCCGCGTCAGGCTCTGGGCTGATGGCTCGGAGCCTGGAGTCTGTTTCCGATTCTGTGTCTCCCTCTCTCTCTGCCCCTCCCCCGTTCATGCTCTGTCTCTCTCTGTCCCAAAAATAAATAAACGTTGAAAAAAAAATTAAAAAAAAAAAAATAAAAGATGTAGGGTTTATGGGCACCCGGGTGGCTCAGTCGGTTGAGCGTCCTACTTCGGCTCAGGTCATGATCTCACAGTTCGTGGGTTCCAGCTCCGAATCAGGCTCTGTGCTGACAGCTTAGCCTGGAGCCTGCTTCAGATTCTGTCTCTCCTTCTCTCTCTGCCCCTCCCCCGCTCACGCTTTGTCTCACTGTGTTTCTCAAAAATAAATAAATGTAAAAAAAAAAAAAAAAAAGATGTAGGGTTTAGAGCAAATCCCCCCTACGTCATCCTCAGGAGAACAGGACAAGAGTTTCTGAGCCAGAAAGACCTGAGTTTGAATCCCAGACCTGTCTGTTCTCAGCTGCCTGTGACCTTGGGAATGCGTTTGCTCATCTGAAAAACCGGGCAAAATGTTCTGGCTGTGACATCTTAGATGAAATGACCTAAAGCCATTAGTAACAGTTATTTCTTAGTATTATCATTAGTAAGAGTGATGACTTCACAGGGAAAGAGCTATAACCTAGGGTGGGAAGGCAGAAGCAGGAGAAGAAAAGGGTTTGTCCCAGGTTAAATCCAAGTTCGAGTAGTAATAAGGGATATTATAACAGGGCTCTATACTATGTAATGAGGGTCACCTGACTCCTTTTCTTGACTGTGATTACAACACCCGATCCCCTCTCCCTTGCTTTAGTCTGAAGCTTGCTCGCCCACATTTATCTCCCCCACCATCTGGCAGACTGGCATGGCTCCTCTTACCCGGCTTGAAATTCCTGCCATTAGAATAACTCTAGTAGTGATCACCTGAGAAGAGGCAGCACTGTTTCCAGACACCCACTGCTGTCTACAAGTGGGTTGTGGGAGGTCCAACAGGGGCAGAGTGGGTGGAAGAAGATAGTTCTCAGGAGGGGAGAAGACCCCTTTTCTTTCTCCCATTAACATAAATGGGCACCTGGTCTCCAGAACTGGGAGGGGGCCGGTGCTGAATTTCAAGGATAGCAGTCTGGAGGGCAGAGACAGGGAGGAGAGGACAGCATAGGGCAGTCGCATACCACACAGTTCAAGCATTGCCTAGGCTGTCCTGATTCCTACTAAAAACCCAACTCTGGTTTTAAAAATGTTCATTAATTTTCAACAAATATTTATCAAGCATTTATTAATGGGCCAGACACTGCAAATACCTGGAGGCAGGGAAGAGGCTTATCTCACTGGAAGAATTAAATAAGTTTAGTCTGGCTAGAGAGAGAAAGCTGGTCATGTTGAAGATTTGGTACTCTGACCTCAGGGAAATTGGTGCCACTCACTCATTTTTTTTTTTTTTGAATAAACTTAATTTTGGAATAGTTTTACATTTACAGAAAAGTTGCAGAGGTACTACAGAGAGTGCCTGTGTACTCCTGACCCACTTTCCCCTAATGTTAACGTCTTATGTAACCACCGTCCATTAATCAAAACTAAGAAACCGACACTGGCACATTACTATTAACTCCAGACTTTATTCAGATTTCATGGGTTTTCCACCAATATCCTTTTCCTGTCCTGGGATATGGTCCAGAGCGCCCCACTGCATTGGCATTAATGGGTTGTAAGGGACAGATGACAGAATCTAGTTTACATTTTTAAAAGATCACTTACCTGACCGTGGATCCATCGGAGAACACGTGGGCAGACTGGGGTAGTGAAGGTTGATGTCGCTAGATGCTCTCCTTGTCATGCAGGACTGCGGTGATGTAGCCTGCATCGGTGGTAGAAAGGCAGAGACAGCTAGAATAGTCATCTTGAGGAGGCAGAGCTGAAAAGTGAAATAGAGATCACTGTGAAATTTCCAAGCAGAGATGTTTCACTGGCAATGACAGGGACAGATCCCAGCTAGAGACACGGATCTGGGAGGTAACAACTGAAACCGTGGGAGTGAATGAAAGTACTCAAGGATACAGAACAGAGAAATAGGTGACAGTCCCCATTCGGAGTTCTGTGGACCACCAACATTCAGGAAAGAGAGGAGCAGGCAAGTGAAGTCTGTTTGAATGTAGTAAAATAAAGAGGGTCTCAGAGTGCAGTTCAGAAAGACGCTCTCCCTTGTATTCAGGTTTGTTCCACAATGTCCTAATGCATTTCTTTGTCCCACTTAGATTTTTTTTGCTACACGCAAGGTACCACATTCAACCCTGTGCATTGGAGGAGTTGCTTAGTTATTCTGTAAATGCAAATGAGCTGGCGTCATTTTGCTTTTCTAAGTTGAGTTGAAAAGATGTTGTCATACTCACAGACCTCCTTCACTGCCTTCCTGCAGTTTGTACAAAGTGCTCATCCAGCAGGCATCACAAAATACCTCGACTGTGTGTATGTCTGTCTCCATTGAAATACAAACTCCCTGAGATCGGGAGTCGAGGATCCCACTTAGCCAATCGGGCACCCTCCTGCACAGCCTGCAAGGCTCCACGCAGGCTCCCCTGGCTGAGACCTCCCCTAGCTTCCCCAGACAGAGAAAAGAGCAGATACCAGCCATAAATCTGTGGAAGCACAGGAAGTTTAGAGAACTGCAGATTTGGATTTAACCAGAACACAAAGTGTGAAGGAAGAGGAGGGGAGTGAGATTAAACAAGCAGGACTGTGCCAGGAAACAAGGAACCTTGTAAGCCAAGCATAAGCCAAACTCAGAAAAGTCTGTCTAGGGACACAAGAAAGACCAGAAGACATTAAGACTAGGAATATGGGAGCTAATCAGGAAACAGAGGCATTGCCCGTGTGGCTTGGCTCCCCAGAGGAGGGATGGAGAAGAGTCAGGGATAGGAGAGAGATTTATGAGGTTGTTAGGACCCACTGATTTGATGCCAGAATTGAAAGGAAGGAAAGTGTCACAAATGTTACCCTCCATGTCTGGTTTTTGCAACTAAATGAATATTTAAGGAAGATACGAGAATATGAGAAAGGGAGCAGGTTCAGCAGGGGAAAATCATGGGCTCAGTTTGCAGGATGCACTATGATGCTAATAGTTCACCCATGTGGAAATGTCCAGTAGGCAGTTGGACAGGCGGTTTGGGAGCTCAGGAAAGGGGGATGAGCTGGTAGATATGACCTGGTCAGATTGCGTGGCCAGTTGAAGCAAAGAGAACCAATAGTAGGTCCTGACTAAGAACAAAATCCAAGGGGCAGGCAGAACTAGAGAACATTGCAAGGAAGGTCAGGAATGGCCAGAAGAGGAAGATGAGGGTCGGAGCCTGAGATGAAAGGGAAAGACAGAACGTCAGGGACAGACAGAGAGGCCATCAGGGTCAAATGCTGTTCCAAGATAAGTTAATGAATCCCCTTTGGATATGGCAACTAAGGAGTCCCCGGTAACTTAACAGAAGACTTTTCAACGGGACAATGCAGTGAAAGGCAACTTGCTGAACCTTACGGAGCGAATGGGGGTGAAGAATGAAAATAACACCTACAGTCAGAAAAACAGACCCAAGTATCTCTTTCCATGGGCTTGTGCACGTCCTATGTATGATAAATCATCTATGGGAGCACATTTTTTCATTGTCGCCACAAAAATTATTACCTTAACATACTTTCCTGAAAAATTATGTACTTCAAAATCTTCATAAAGAATTAAGCGAGTGTTACTGGAACAGATTTTTGGTCACTCCAGTTACCAAGCATGAAACTTGTTTTGTTTTTTTTTTTCCCTACATCCTAATTTGTAAAATGGGTATAATCCTGGTTTTGTTCTAGTTCCCTAATCTGAAAATGGGCATAATAACATAATATCTGCTCTCCCCTCCCTATCAGAGTGGTTCTAAGGATCCACTGAGATCCTGAATGTGAAAACAGAAGGCTCACTATAAACTGTATGGCAATGTACAAATGTTAATTACCGTACACAGGACCATGGCTCCAAAACCAATCCCCTGCCAGGCGGGGCAAGCTCACGTTAGTTCATTAACTGGCAGGGCTAAAGGATGTGGAGACCTGGGATGGAGTGGAACATTCCTGTCAGGGGCAACATGGGGCTGCAAGAATCCGAGATGCAGGCCAAACAGCCCCTCAAGGAAAGACTTGTAAGACCCCAAAGTCCACGAGGCTCCAGAGGACTTTCCACATCCATAGACCAAGGTCCCTCCGAGCCTCACCCCCGTAACCACTGAACCAACTCTATCTCTAATAAAATATTATCTGAACTGAAAGATTCCTGAGGGCAGAAATCTGGTCAACTTTGCTCACCACTCTACTCCAGCCCCCAACTGGCACGGTGCCTTGCATACAACAGGCACTCCAACCTTTTTGAAATTAGTGGCAGAATCCTTCCACAAATCCTCAAATGTCCTATAATATTTTGGTGCAATGGAGGAAGGGGTAACTCCAGAAGCAGAAGAATCTGCAAATGCATTTTGATGGGCTTTTGTCCACCATTTGGAGCTCTGCCTAATACCTGAAACTTTTAATTACTGAAGCTTGCCAATTATCCTTAACTCACCTAGTTTTTACCATAGTCTTTCTTCTTTCTGGTACGAATGATTAAGCATCAAAATAATTCAGTTTGGAGAATCTGAAGATCTAAGTCTCTAACTCAATTGTGGGTTACACAGCAAGTGATAGCTCTACTGGGTTAGGATCGAGTACAGTGTAGACTAGAAGAAGGTCAGGTGCTGGATCCCCATGCCCCCCGTGGTTACATCCAAGCGTTACCACTTTCTGAGAGTGTAACTTAGGGAAAGTTATTTTACTGATCAAGCCTGTTTTCCTTGTCATTATAATGACCTAATATCAGTACCTCTTCCATGAAGTTTATGAGGCTTAAGATAATCTATATACAGCATTCAATACAGTAATTGGGGCTCAGAGTAGGGATACAAATGTTTGTCTAGAAACTCAAGAGCTTAGGGAAACTCTTACAAGAAAGCTTAGACCATCGCTATTCTTTCATCTATGCTATCAGGCATCACCACTTACTGCTGCCTAGCGAATTAGAGTTAAGGAGTTTTACCCATTTACTGCCCGGTGGGTTTTTAAAGCCAAGCCACACCCGGCCCGTGGTGGGATGTGGTGGGAAGGCAGCACGGTAGCCCTGCAAGAGCCCTGGATTTAGAGCCACAAGACCTGGCTCGGTCACAGATCAAGGCTTTTCACATTTCTGAGCCTCAGGTTTCTCCCCTTTGAAACGTGAAAACTAATGCCTGCCTGCTTGGCCCGCCAACCTCACAGGGTTATCGCTGAGGCCAGATGGCGTGGGAGCAGGTGTGGGGGTGCCGTCACACACCTTTCCACCACTCGGTCAGCTACGGCAGCTGCTGCCCCCGAGTGCTCCCCCTGGAGCCCCGCCGACCGTCCTGCGGCTTCAGGTCCCCGCTTACTTGGCTTCTCAGTTGCTGGCCCAGCGGACCTCCCCTTTCTTCTCAAACCCCTCTCTTTCTCGGCTGCTGGGACACCACCCACACCCCCATCCTCTGCTCGATGCCTCTGCCCATTGTCCTTCCATACCTGTCCAAATCCCCTGGCACGCTCACCAATGCTGTTTCTTGCCCTACTTTATCCACAGGCGATCACAACCTCTCTGGCTCTGAATGCTATCTGTCAACAAATAAAATAATCCCTAAGATTCAATAAGCTACCCAGTGCCCTGTAACAGATGCCTTCTGCTAAAACCAGCTAGCACGTGACCTACTGCCCACAGCCAAGAGTCCTGATGAACACTCCATGACTCCACCACTCCGCTCTTTAAAATTTTCACATCTACCATATTTGCACTGCATCAAGAGAATTTAAAACTTCAGAATGATGTGTACAATATAGTCCTTCAACAATTCTACATTACTCTGGGGCGCCTGGTCAGGGGGGCTCAGTCGGTTGACTTCGACTTCAGCTCAGGTCATGATCTCGGGGTCCGTGAGTTCGAGCCCCGCGTCAGGCTCTGTGCTGACAGCTCAGAGCCTGGAGCCCACTTCGGATTCTGTGTCTCCCTCTCTCTGACCCTCCCCCATTCATGCTCTGTCTCTCTCTGTCTCAAAAATAAATAAATGTTAAAAAAAAAAAAAGTTTTTTTTTTTTTTTAACGTTTATTTTTTGAGAGAAAGAGACTGAGTGCGAGCAGGGGAGGGGCAGAGAGAGGGAGACACAGAATCCGAAGCGGGCTCCAGGCTATGAGCTGTCAGCACAGAGCCCGACACGGGGCTCGAACTCACGGACCGCGAGATCATGACCTGAGCCGAAGTCGGCTGCTTAACCGACTGAGCCACCCAGGCGCCCCTCCCCCAAAAAAATTTTTTTTAAAAAACCATAATTCTATACATTACTCAGGGCTCATCACGATAAGGGTACTCTTAATCCCCTTCGCCTATTTCACCCATGCGCCCCGTCCTTTCAACCTCTCCTCTGGTAACAGTCTGTTCTCTGTATTTAAGAGTCTGGTTTTTTGTCTCTTCTTTGCTTGTTTTGTTTCTTAAATTCCACATGTGAGTGAAATCATATGGTTCTTGCCTTTTGCTGACTGGCTTATTTCACATAACATCATACCCTCTAGATCCGTCCCTGTTGTTGCAAATGGCAAGATTTCATTCTTTTTTATGCCTTCATTTTGTATATATGCCACATCTTTTTTATCCGCTCATCTGTTGATGGACACTTAGGACACTTCCATAATTTGGCTATTATACCTAATGCTGCAATCAACACAGGGGTGCATGTATCTTTTCAAATTAGTGTTTTTGTATTCTTTGGATAAACACTCAGTAATGGAATTACCGTATCATGGGATAATCTTATTTTTAATCTTTTGAGGACCCTCCATAGTGTTTTCCACTGAGGCTACCTATATACTTTTCGGAAAACTTTTATCTAGTCATACCCAGTATGCTATTTAGTATGCTGCCTTAAAGAACGGTGCATTAGCTCACTCTTTGATTTTGTAGAATCTTATGTCCAGCTTTCTATAATTGTCTTTGCCTAAATCATCTATAATTGTCTTTGCCTAAACAGTCCTTATTCAGTTTGTCTTGTAAGTAGAGTGACACTGCGTTCTCTATTCTTGTCTCTGGAAGCATCTGAATAGGATTGGTAGTTAGGGTTGGTTTCGGCTACAAGTAGTGGAGGAC